CTATTATGTTAGAGCACACCTGTTAAGAAATTCAGATTCCTTTTTGTTACAATGTTAATGTCAAAAAATAAAATTAGGAATCCTTCAACTTGGGTTTAAGAAAATGAAAAGGAAAAAAAAAATGAAGATGCAATCATGGTTTGATGCAATTTGTTTATTTTTGGATTTTGGATTTTGTTTTCTTCAAAGAAAATGGTATAATGATTAATGAGCTTCTATTTTGTTTAGAAAAAAAAAGTACTTAAAAATGACATTTTAAAAATTATAACATTAGCTGGTGGATTACATGATCACCTTTTTCTTTCAATTTACTTTTCTTTCCATTATTAAGGAATGTTAAAAGTTACTCTTCATTTTAAAAATTTTAAGTTAAAATCCTAAAATAAGAGGTGTTTAATTAATGTGGGGAATATGACTTGGAGTGAAATAAGTAGGATAACAATTAGAGAATTATTTTTCTTTGTATAATTTATAATAATAATAATAATAAAAGAAATGAGAGAGTTCAATGTTGTATTCAAAATTTTAATTTCATCCAACAATTAAAAGGTGCATATTACGTTCATGGGATGAATTAGAGACACTAAAGCCTATACATCCACAAATGTCATCTTATGATGAATTTTCACAATATTTATACAATTTAAAAGAGTAAATATATATTTTAATTCTATCTTGTAAAATAACCAATTACAATCATTATCACGTAAGATTATAATAATAGGAAGTTTATTAAATAACATTGTAGTCGAATGTTTTCAACTCATATGCAATTTCTAGAAATTAAAACGTAAGATTAAAATAAAGTTTTTGTTAGTTAACTTGAAATCTTGATTGGAAGGAGTGCGAAGGGCATGCTTTACTATTTAAAAATTATATTTGACAGTACTCTCAACAGATCAGAGTGGCGCAGCGGAAGCGTGGTGGGCCCATAACCCACAGGTCCCAGGATCGAAACCTGGCTCTGATATAAGAGTGGCTTCCGTTCAAATTTTTGCCTTACAAACGCAGTCGCATGGTTTTTTATTTAGATTAACTTCAACGACGTCGCTCAGAGCCCATGGTTTTTTATTTTATTTATTTTTTAAAATGGTTTGTCAAATTTGTTCACGCCACGTGTCAAGAGATTAATAAATG